ATTAATATATTTCTGATAGATTTTTTACTGTTTAAGTATTTGACAAAATTTATCAATGAATATGGAAGTTTTGAAAATATTACTGAATAGTAATAAATCAAAAATTATACAAATGACAAATTTTGTAAGATACGTTAGTCTTTTCTCGGCTTGATATTATTTAAGCCCATGTAAAAAAAAAAATTCCTCAAAAGTTCATATAACCGTCCGCCAAGGAAATTCATATTGTGAGACGATGCGGAACAAATTCTGAACATTTTATGAACTTTTTTTGAGGAACATTTTATGAACTTGTTGTGAAGTTTCGGAAAAAAGTATGACGAAATCTCCTGCTATTTTTCTGACACTTTAAAAGTGGCTACATTTTTATGTAAATTTTTAATATTTTTGAGGAACATTATATGAACTTTTTCGTGAACTTTTATAAAAAAGCATTACAAGCACTCCTGCTATTGTTCTGAAGTTTTAAAAGTGGCTAAATTTTTATAAAAATCTTTAATATTTTTGAGGAACATTTTATGAACTTTTCGTGAACTTTTAGAGAAGACAATTATAAAACCTCTTTTTACTTTTTTGACGTTTCAAAAGTGACTAATTTAAAAAAAGAATTTTAATATTTTTGAGGAACATTATATGAAATTTTCATGAACTTTTATAAAAAAGCATTAAGAAACCCCTTGCTATTTTTCTGATGTGTTAAAAGTGGCTAAATTTTTATAAAAATTTTTTATATTTTTGAGGAACATTTTATGAACTTTTCGTGAATTTTTAAAAAACCGCATTGTAAAACCTCCTTCAAGTTTTATTACGTTTCAGAAGTGACTGATTAAAAAAAAAAATTTTAATATTTTTGAGGAACATTATATGTATGAACTTTTCGTGACTAAATTTTTATAAAAATTTTTTATATTTTTGAGGAACATTTCATGAACTTTTTGTGAACTTTTACAAAAAAGCATTACATAACCTCCGGCTACTTTTCTGCCAACCGACAAAGTAGCAAAGAAGAAGGACTTGAAAAAAAGCCCTCCTCAATGACTGGCAGAGCAGGGCGACGAACCTCAGAAGACGATGATTGACTGGGAAAAAGTACAGTCTAAGAAGGAGATTAGAAGGCTAGCTAGAGAGCAACTCTCAAAGCAGCCGCCGGAGGAGCCCAGGCCAGAGCCTAAGCGGAAAAAGCCACGAAAGTGGATTAGGCCTGACGCTCTGATCATCCGTCCGGTAGAGAAGGAGAAGTACGCTGAAATATTGCGTCGTATAAAGCAGGCCGTTCCCGACGAACAGGTCCGCACAACCGTGGAAAAGATCCACAAAACCAAAACCGGGAACATGCTGATTACGCTCTCAAAGAAGAGTATTGACAAAGGTCAAGCCTTGCAAAAGGCCATCACAGACGTTCTTCAAAAAGAAGCTGAAGAACGTCTGTAATGGCCTTTTGCAAGGCTTGACCTTTGTCAATACTCTTCTTTGAGAGCGTAATCAGCATGTTCCCGGTTTTGGTTTTGTGGATCTTTTCCACGGTTGTGCGGACCTGTTCGTCGGGAACGGCCTGCTTTATACGACGCAATATTTCAGCGTACTTCTCCTTCGTAATTCCAGCGTAATTCTTCATTTCCTATACGTTTTTATTAAACAAAACTTCAATTTTTAAAGAAAACAATAAAATTATAATTACGGAGTAAACCTTGAAGAAATTGTTTTTTTTACTTTACATTGAACCATATGTTAATGGAGCGAATAAAATATATAGCCGTTCCAAATAAATCACTCTAATATACACAGTAAAAAATTTTGCGTCATTGCGTCAAAAATCTTAGTGTTAAAAATTTTTGTGTTAAATATTTAACACTTTTATGTGTAAATTTAACATTTATTCTGTTAAATCAACACAAAAAAGTGTTAATTATTTAACATAAAAATTTTTAACACAAAATTGTTTGATGCTATGACGCGAAATTTTTTACTGTGTATAATTAATTATTAATAATTAATTAATAAATTAAGTATAGAACTCGGTTAACTATAAGAATAAGTCATGTATAAAATTTAAATTACAAAGCAGTTTGAAAGGTACTCTAGAATTAAGATAAGTCATTGGGTCAATAGGTAAAGTATCAGTCTGAAGAGCGCGTCGTACATGGTTTGAATCCCCGTCGGCACTAATCTTTTTTTTTTTTATGGACCTAATCGAGTCAGACATGAACAGATCTGATCAGACATGAACATGCCTGGCCAGGTCTGATCAGACCCGGTCATTTTTCATGTCTAATCAGACCTGAAGACTCATGTCTGTTCATATCTGATCAGATCTGATCATTTTTTCCCGGGAGGCTTCATGACCACGAAAAGAAAAATCCAAATTTTTCTAAGAATTTATTTTGATGTGTTATAAAATTTTATTGGATGGTCATTCTATAAGCTGAAGATAATGATTAACTTTGTAGAATAAATTTTTCGTTGATTTGAAGTTAAAAAATCTGAGTCGAGTATCTTGCAGCGAGAATTTTGGAAGATTATGCGCCACCTGTTAGGGGTTTTTGGTACTAAATTCAAAATTAAGTTTAATAATTAGAAACTTGTTAAATATTACAGATAAAATATAACATTGAGTTAGTAGCTTAGAAGCTTGTGGTATTGTCAATTTGATATTGTAAGCCCAATAAAATACTAAAAATCAAGATTTCAATCTGAATGTAATTGTTTTATTAAGTTTGACTATTAATTGCGATAGCGTGTTAATATTCAATGTTTAATTACTAAGGAGTAATAATTTATACAAAATTACGGATTTATCAATTGAATATTTTAAATGAATTTGTTCAGGAGTGATTTTCATAATGCTATTGAATGATGACTGACAAAGTCTTGAACGGAAATTAAGAAAAAATAATTGTTACATTGATATTATTACTGAAAGCGATGACAATTAAAATTTAATCTCTTATGTAATAGTCACTTCAATTATTGGAAACTTATACTGTCTAGCTGTAAACCAGTAAATACGGATCATCTCAAAATCAGTAAGGCACCTTTCGACAAAATCTAGATCATCAGCAAGCGCGCAAAGCTTAAATTTGACCAAAAATAATCTAATTTGAAGTAAATTGCTTCCGTACCGAAATGAAGCTGAAATTTTTTTAAAAGACAAGAAAATTTAATTAAGTGAATTTTTTTATAATAATTTAATTATAGAATAAATATAAGTATCAGAAAAAAATCAGTTACAAGTTCTTGAAAAAATTAAAAAATTCAAGTATGATGAATTTTTTCATACTTTAATGATAAAATAAAAATAATTATTTTGCAGATCAGGTAAAAATATAGTGATATAATTTTCATAAAATGTCAAATTTTATCAGACAATAAATATTTTTTCGGTAAGAAGTTATAATATCTGAGTTAAGTTTCTTGCAGTGGAAATTTCAGACCACAGTTAGCCACCTGTCGGAACTTTTCAGAACTAAAAATAAAAAATAGGTAAATTTAGATAAAAAATTGATTCAATTAGCCAATGATTAAATTAGGCATTACGCTTCAATTTTTAACAGAACGTCAATATTATAAAAGAGATCCGTTTCTTGTTAAAATGCGAAGTTTGTACAAACTTCAAAAAAGACTCTACCACTGAAAATATTGATCGGATAATTTTATTCAGCAGTCCCGATGATCAAGGACAATCTTTCTAATTACTGAAAGAAATAAAGTAAATATTATTATAATTGTCACAACAGCTGTCACCAACAGAAATTTAAAATTATTTCAACAATGAATTTCAAACCAATCATTTAATCTTAAATCATGTGACTCACTTCCTGGATCAGAAAATTTTTCAAAATATTGAAGAAAGGAAAGCTAATATTCATGAAAAATAATATAATGGCATATAATGGAAAAATGCCCACATCTTGAACCAAAACGTTCCAACTAAAATGGAATTATTCAAACTATTCTAAGACTTTATTAATGGAAATAATAAAATTTTCTTGAATTTGAGAGAGTAATTCTATAAACTCACGACCAACTCTGTAAGACAAATAAATTTTTTATTGAGTGGAAGTTAAAACATCCGAGTTAAGTGTCTTGTAGTGAGAATTCTAGAAGATCATGCGCCACCTGTTGGTGATTTTTGGTACTTAATTCAAAATTAAGGTTAATACTTAGATACTTGTTGAATAATACAGAGAAAGGGTAAAATTAAGTTAGATTAGAAACTTTTAGTAAATTAATTATTGATGAATTAATTTTAATAGAAAAAATCCAAGAATACCTTCTCTTCTTATTTCTATTAGATATTTTTACTGTAAGTATTTAAAGAAATTTTTAAATTAGTATCAAGGTATTGAGAGTGTTTTGAATAATTACAGTGATTGGTTGTTTGAAAGTCAAAATAAATCATGGAACATCTATAAAATTTAAAAATGACAAGTAAAATAGTAACTGCGTTGCTAGTTTTTTTAGAGCGAATCATTGACATGTGCATCAAACCATATAAATTCCAACCATTTTTATCATATACAAAAATTATAATGAACGGAAAAAATAAGTATGATTTAATAATTTCGAACTTATGTCATTGCAATAAATTCATTATTTCTACTATTGTTTAATAATTTTTTCAATCTGAAAAATTGATAACGAAAAATTACAATTATAAATTATTTTTTATATTTTTATTTACAGAAAATGGAGAAAAATGGTGATTTTCTCACTGAAACATTGCACAATTCATTTATAGAAGTAAGTAAAATTGTTTTTTATTTTTCTGCTACCATTTTTATAGAGAAACCTCGAAAAAAAAATTCACAAAATTAGAGAGCAAATATCTTGAGAAAGAAAAATTTAACTAATTTATTTCTTATCATTACATGCATCAATTTTTTTCTAAGTGACATGTATGTTAGGTGAGGTTTATTTGCAACTTTTATTTATTAATTACTTTTAATTGCAACTAACTTTTAATATCCAATAAACAGTAATAACCAAATGGTTAATTAAAACTAACGGAGAAACGAAACGTCTATCTGAAAATAATATTAAAATAGAAGAAAATATATCTGCGATTGTAAATGAATGCACTTCAACAATAAAATACAAAATACGAAAATCTACCCTCAATTCCAATGTTTATTCTTATGAGGTAGAGATTATTTTTAAAATAGAGTGTGATAAATCAAAAATTACAAAATTTACATGACATATTAATTTTTTGTAGGTTGAATATTATATGTAAGAAAATAATGTCTATTCAAAAGTATTAAATTGTTGGAAAAAGTATCTGGAATTGAACAATAAAATACTAAATAAAGATCAATTTTCTCTTTTTTTGTCGTTGTAAAAGCTTTTCACGCGTTCAAAGTTACAAAATTCTAAAATTACCAATTATTTGTAAAACAAAAAAATTATAGGAATTATCTAATTAATTTTAAAGACCAAATTATATTTTGAACTTTAATAATAATAAAAAATTACAGAAAAGGCGATTTTGGTAAGACACAATAATTTTTTTTCGGTTGGAGGTTATATAAGCATAACTCAAGTCTCTTGCAGCGAGAATTTCTGACCACCTTGCGCCACCTATGGGACATTTTCAGTACTAGATTTTTAAAGTTTTATTTAATACTTTAGAATTTTGAATGTTTGACGAATTAAGGAGTCAATTAATTTAGCAGTGGAAATTTTTATTTATTTATTTATTTATTTATTTATCTATTTCTCGGTCATGGAGCTTAGCTCCCTGTGACCATATTTCTTATACAGATTACAAAGGTAGTTATAGTTACAAAAATAATTATAGTGAGTCGCACTGACAACAGTATTTAGCATAGTAAAATAATAATAATAATAATTTAAAGTATAATAGTTAATGAAAATAATAATAGTAGTAATAATAATAACTATAGGACATTTCCAACTTCATCATCATGTCGCATATTTTGATATTTACTATTAATCATGCTCATCGTCTTGCTCTAAGCGCTGCAAGAACCGAAAACAAACATTGCGAAATTCCTCTAATGTGGCAGCTGATGTGACCTCGATCGGAAGCGAGTTCTAAAAATTACAACCAGTTACAATAAACGAACGCTGATACGCCGTTGTCCTCGCAAAAGGCACTTTTAGGGTATCAGTCTTGCTTAAGTCTCGCCGCATAGCAATGTTTGTTCTCAGCTCCAGCTTGTCTCCAAACAGACCAGGCCGCATTAGACACAGGGCCTTATAGAACTCGCAGGAAATTAACAGTAATCGACGATCACGAGGCACTAACCAATTAAGACGCCGCCGATGCTCAGTTATATGCTTATATCGTTTTATTCGAAAAATAAACCGAACGCAATTCTTTAGTGAGACAAGCAATGATCTCTCTAGCTCAAATGTTAAGTTCGTTAATACACAAGCACAATAGTCAAAAACAGGCAATACAAGTGCTGATACCAGCTTTCGTTTTAATTGAGCACTTAAATCGAAATAGTGACTAGGGTCCACTATAGTGACTATTCACTATTTTTGCAGTGCAGAGTAGATCACTAATTCAAATAGTGGTATACTTTTCACTACTAAATAGTGAATAGTCACTATTTCATAGTCGAAAGTCACTATTTCGATTTGAGTCATTCATTCTTGACCGATACAACGCAATTGCAGAGCGCTTCTTGACGCTAGCTACCTGACAATGCCACGAAAGTAAACTATCAAAAACGACACCTAAATATTTAAATGATCCAACAAATTCAATCGCCTCATCACCCAAAGTGAGCTTTAGTTCTTGCGCATCCATATTTAATTTAATAATCATTACCATGTAGAAGAATTTCTAATTATTCTTTTAAAAAATACATTTAAGGGTTTATGTTTTTTTATGCTTGAAAATTTTAACTTATTATCAGGATTTTCGGGATCCGAATAAAATTCATTGTAAAAATGTTAAAGACCAAAACAAAGCGATCGAAATTTCATCAACTTTTGCTTGATATTCTGTCTAAATAATTTTTTTATCACTTAAATAGTTAATGCATTATAATTTTATTGAACTGATCCGGGCACTACAATAATATAAATTGAAATATTAAAAAACAATTTTGAAAATAGCGATCGAAAAATATTATAGGGATATTATAATGATAAATAAAAGTTTTAAGAACTCTTGACAGTACATCTGGGATTTAACACAGGATAAATTGACTTGATCAATTCGAATCATCAAGAGCAAGAATTCAAACTTTTGATGACTTATAACGTTTAAAAATAAATGAAATATACGAAATAGACTTTAACAGGGTAAATGTTATTTTCAACCCTTACTTACTTTTTTACTAACCTTTAGGTGATTATGATGTCACACGTTTAACTCAGTGAAAAGAAGCGATGTTTCTTTTTTATTATTTCATATTTTAATAAAAATTCAATGTTAATACTGTATTAACGTCTAGGAAATTATCGTGGAGCTGGTACGAGCGAAATTGTGTCTAAGTTTTCATCAATTGAACGCCGAAATACCGAGTGCATTAACAAAAAAAATTAAGAAATACATGGATGCGGTTGATGAAAGTAATTTCCAATAATAATCATACAATTATAATGAACATTATTATTATGAATTTGAAATTTATCATTAAAATTTCTAAACGTGGAAATATTTTATAGATTATTGGCTTTAATAGATAAAATTGGAAGAAAAACCATTGGATCCAATTTGCACTACTATACAAAACGCGCGTGTTTTAAGTCGCCATTTGCAATTTAATTATTTTGATAACATCTTTGTCAATACTTCAGGACACGGCTGTTAATTTCAACAACCAACAAGTGAAAAAAAATGAATTTTTACTGCAAAAAAGTAGCAATGTAAGTTTTTTAACCAGACAATTTTTCATATCATCTTAATTAATTGTTTAATATTATTTATCTGTAGTTTTAGGATCCCGTAGATTAGACACTATTTGTACACACGATAATTGTAGAAATAAAAAAGACAAATAAATTATTTTTTAGATGGAACTAATAATATTTGAGTCAACTCTTTGCTTGCGAGAAATTTTAGCGATCATGCACCACCTGTTGGAAAATTTTGGAACTAATTTTTCAAATTTCGTCAATGTGTTCTAAGTTATCATTTATAATCATGAAAATTTTTGATGCTTTTTTCTTTAATATTACAATAAAGACAATTCTATTTTTATCATTTCTAATTTATTCAAAGACTCACACAGTTTAAAAAGATTCTTACTTATTTATAATAATATTTAGTGATGACTAAAAATGGTCTTGAGCTGAAATTTAAAAAAAAAATTAATTTTATAATGAAATTATTATTTCAAACGATGATATTTAGATATTTGATGTCTTGTGTAATAGGCAATTCAATTATAATGCGAACTGATATAAAGTCCGACGAATAAAAGAAGTAAAGTAAATTTACACGCAGAATTTCTGATCCATAAATTATAATTAGTGCCTTTTATTATTAATGTTTTATTTCCTTTACTAAAACGATAAACGCAAAAATAAGGATGATGGTTCAAGTTTATGGAAGCTTATGCAGAAGATTCAACGAGCTTAGTTAACATATTTATTCTACAATAAGTTTTTGTCACTTGAGTGATTTAAATTAAGATAACTATACTTAATTTTGATTTTTACGAGTACTCTGTTACGTCTAAATGAAATTTGTCTTAGAAAAAAATTCAGATAACTTACTTTTCCCCCACGTACGGATTTTTTTAAGAATATTTTGATCTTGAGTTAAATTTCCCCCGAACCAAAACCCAAACGTGAAATCTTTCCGGTGAATTAATATCGAACGATCCTAAATTTTTTTATAATAATCTAATTATAGAATAAATATAATTATAATCTGATACAGATAAGTTTCAATAACGGAGAACTTTTGCTCAAATAAATTTCAGTGTGTGAGAAACGAAAGTTTTTCTTATATTAGTCAAAATTTATAAGATCAAAGCTTTGTTATCAAAACCCTACAAGAAACTTTTATTTAATCAAATAAAAGATGAACCTGTAAGACAGATAAATTTTTCCTTGATTGGAAGTTATAAAATCTGAGTGAGGTATCTTGCAGCGAGAATTTTCAACGACCATGCGCCACCTGTCGAAACTTTTCGATACTAAATTTTAAATTTCTTCTTGAAAGTTGTAAAAAATTTCTATCAATGAAAATGTGTATTAGATCTTATTCAATGGTCCGAATATCGAGGGACAATTTTAACAATTAAGAAAATTTAGAACGAAAGAACTAACAGGCCGCTTTGAGCGCAACTTATTGTAAAATTAATTTTTTTTGTTAAAATTTAACTTTTAAAATTTATTATTTCGATTTATCTGTCTTTGGCAAAATAAATTTTATTTTGTTAAGTATTTATGAGTTAGGGTAGAAATTGTAACTAATCGGAAAACTTGCCTGCAAAAACTATAAAGTTAAAAATTATATTAATTAAAAAATGCGCTGCAAGCTATTAATAAATCATGTGTCTTAATATGGATTACAAAATATTGTAAAGTATACAAGGGAATTTATTATAATGTGCCAACGTTTGTCAACGTTATTTATTGTAATCTGCCAATGTTTATTTACCCAGAATAAACATAAGGCAACATATGACAAAAAAAGAAAACTAAATTTTTTCGAAGAATTTATTTTGATTTATTATAAAATTTTGTTGGATAGTCATTCTATAAGCTCAAGACAATGATTAACTATGTAAGAAAAATTTTTCTTTGATTGGAAGTTAAAAAATCTGAGTTAAGTGTCTTGCAGTGAGAATTTTAGAAGATCATGCGCCACCTGTTGGTGTTTTTGGTACTAAATTCAAAATTAAGGTTAATACTTAGAAAACTGTTAAATATTACAGAGAAAGTATAAAAATGAGTTAGATTAGAAACTTTTAGTAAATTAATTATTGACAAATTAATTTAATTAATGAAAATTAAGAAAAAAATTTTTTTAGTATTTTTATTAGATATTTTACTGTTCAAGTATTTAAAGAAATTTATAAATGAGCATCAAAGTGGTAAAAATATTACTAAATTACGATAGTGATCCTTTATTGAATAATAAGAAGAAATTATGGAATATCTTAATCAAATTTACGACTGACAAGTTTTCGTAAAATAGTGCAGACAGATTTCTAATAGTTTTTTGTTAAATCATCTGTATTACACGCGTGATAATAAAGATCCTAATAATTTACGTTAGTTAATTTTTTTTTCATTTGCCAATATTAATAATTTACAGAACGGAAAAAGAGCGATTTTTAAGCAATCACTAAAAAATTTCGAATTATAAATGGTTAAGGAAGACCTTCAAGCGAATTATGTTACACGCCATAAAAAGTCTTCGGAAAAAAAGGAACGACTGAAAACCATAAATCCTTATCAGGAAAACCCAAGATATTAATAAAGCGTTCGACAAGATATTTATACCAAAAAATGATTAAAATGAATTTAATATTACAAAACAATAGAGAAGAAAAAATTATACATAAGTCATCTATCTACCGTCGATGAGTTAAAAAATCATTTGCACAATTGAAGCATAAAAATATTGTTCTATCAAAAAAAATCTTAGCAAATATATTTCTTACGATTACACATCATCAATTTTTTGTAAGTTGTATCTAAGATATTTAAAGTTAAATTTCAAATTTAATTAATTAGTTTTCATAACAGTTAGTTCTTAATATCCGACCGAATTCTGAACATGTCAAAGACACTTTACCAAATGGTAAATTAAAAATAAAATAGGAACTGATATCATAAAGTCTATCCAAATGTATTGAAATGATTAAAAATGTATTTCTGATTGAAATGGTGTACTACTGAATAATAAAACGAAATAATACGAACAAAACGAACAATTCAAGCCGATAAATATACTGAGGATATTTCTTCAAGACACAAATGTTTCTTTATAACAAATTACTGATTTTTTTAATTCATTTTACTCATAATATTTTAAAAAATTGTGAACAGGATTTTACTAAATCAAATTATCACTTTCTGAAGTCATAAAAGCTTCTATTTAGCCCAACCATGAATTAACTACTCAAGACGACTCAATACCGACTTCCAACGCCGTCTCACTGCCTCCAACGCCGTAAGACCAACGTTCATTAACTGCTAAATTTTAAAATGATCAATTATGTGTAAAATAAAAAAATTACATAAATAATTTAATTTATTCTAAAGACAAAATAATATTTTAAACTTTAACAATAAGTCAAAAATTATAAAAATAGCAAACTTTGTAAGACATATTAATTTTTCTCCGTTGGAGATTATATAAATATAATTCAAGTCTCTTGAAGCGAGAATTTCTGACGACCCTGCGCCACCTATTGGAAAATTTCAAAACTAAGTTTTTTAAATTTAATAAAATACCTTGAAATTTTAAATGTTTGACGAATTAGGGAGTCAAAATAATTTAGTAAATATTTTTGTTTAATTTATTATTCATTACCATATAGATGAATTTATAACTATTTTATCAAAAAATACATTCAAGCTTTTATGTTTTTTTATGCTTGAAAATTTAAACTCAATATGAAGATTTTTAATTTATAAATAAAATTTATTGAATAAATGTTAATTAATGTGAAAGAAAGGATTCAAAATTTCATGGACTATTGTTAGTTTCATCGAAATAATTTTTATCACGCTTAAATAGCTGAGGTACTTTATTATCGCTTCATTTCAATGAAATACTGAAATAATTATTAGAAGATAATTAAAAAAATAAGAATAATAATGATGAAAATAGAATAA